CACAGAGCTTGCGCCACGACTTTTGCATCACACAGACTGCGCAGCATCAGTGTACGTACGATGCATACAAAGGGCGTGCATGTCGCAACGCAGCGGTTGCACTGCACAGCATGCATCGCATGGCTTTTGCCACATGGATTGCACCACACAGCTTGCACCAGACTGCGTGAACCACATCTCGCCGCCGCTCGGACGTCCATTCCCTGTGCTTTCTTCGGTTTCGTGCGTGGTTTTGTCGCCAAATGATCCAGGATGCTCCTCGATGGTCCTCGCCGAGAGAAAAATGCACACGCCCGAGCGATGCCGAGACGTAGCCTGTGCAACAGCTCACTGCTTGGGGCCCATGCAGGCGCCGGCTTCCGCTCTTCAGCAGACGAGTGCGGGACGGCCGCGGGAAAACAAAAGGCAGCACGTCCTCCCGCTCTGGACCCCCGCTGCCACGCTGGAGGCCTCCCACATGGGGCTGGAGCAGAATCCAGACCTGCGATGATTGTTTTTGCTCCAATTCGGCGGTGGACAAACCTCCCTCTAGTAGACCTCCCCTTCGTGAAAAGGGCCTGGGACCGAAACCGGCGGACCGGGACCCGCAAACATGACGGCCGCGACGCCCTCTCGCGAGCCGGAAACGGCCGATTCCTCAATCGACGTCTCGGGGTGAGAGGTCTGTCCACCCCCGCTTGCTCCCCGACTCCCCGATCACGGTGCGAGTTCCTCTGTTTTGGGGGGGGGGGGGGCGGGGGGGGGGGGCTCTCCTCCTCCTCCTCCTCCTCCTCCTCCTCCTCCTTCCCCTTCCCGTAGGAGGTCTGTCCACCCCTCACCAACACGGGGCCCCCAGAAGCCCCGACCCTCTCCCAGGGCCCGCTCCTGGTCCCACAACTCTTCCTGGCTGCCCCCAAAAGGCCCGGCCGAGGGCCCCGAGCGGCCGAGAGCACGGCCCAAAGCCTGCCGCCGTGATCTCTGCACGACGCGGGCATGTCTGGGGAAGGGGTTGGAGGGCCGCGCCCGGCTCCGGCTCCACTTGGGGAGATTGGCTGCCGGCGGCACACAAGAGTGACCCTGCAGGCAACAGTGACCCTTGGTGTGCTCCTCCTCCTCCTCCTCCTCCTCCTCCTCCTCCTCCTCCTCCTCCTCCTCCTCCTGATGATCCTCCTGGTCCTTCTTCCTCATCCTCCTCCTCTTTTCCTCCTCCTGCTGCTCCTCATATCACTCCTCCTCGCCCTCCTTCTCATACACACCTCCTCCTCATGCTCCTGGTGATATTATCCTTCGTCGATTTCCTCCTCTCCCTCTTCCTCATCCTCAAACCCAAGTGCACAACCCTGAGGTCCGCCACTGCGAAAGGACCTCAGCGAAGCACCATGACAGCAGCAAGAGGAAAAGGAGGTCGAGACACGGCCATGCTTAAGGCGCGAAGCTGCGCTGCCGGACTGGCCGGTCAGGGTCTCCGTGTCCCCCCCATGTGTGGCTCTACTGCGGTCATTTGCGAATGCTATGAGAGCCCTGCAGCGAAACTATTGCGGACAAACTGCAACAGAGTAAACAATCACGACCGGAGCCCTTGACCCCGTCTTGCGGTGGCAGTGTCCGAGGCGGATCGATCTGTGATGCTCCCGGGGCCCAGGGGAACGTAAAACATCGAACGGGGCGAAAAGAAAGGTGACGCCAAGATCTCAGGGAAGCCGCCACTATCGCCTTGCAACCAGCGATCGGGGGGCCCCAATCCCAGACCTCCGACGTCTTGTTGTTTGATACGGGGTCCCTGGAGCTCTGGAGCACTTCCTGGGGACCAATTTTCCGTCCTGGATAACTTGTTGACTGTCCCGGGGCCCAGCGAGGAACCCCAGATGCCGAAGACGACGCGAAACCTTCAAACCGATGTTGTCAGTACATTGGAGGCCTGGGGTGGGCCCGCGCCAGAGCCCACTCCGTGGCCAGGGGCGTCCAAGGGAGGGGCGTCCAAGAGCGGGGCTCGCAAGCCATGGCCCGAGACACGTGCGCGGACGAGGGCGGACCAGGGGACGCGCTGAAAGAAACACGATAATAATAATAGTAAAAATAATAATGATAATAATAATAATAATACGAAAAATAATAGTAATAGTAATAGTAATAATAATAGTAACAGTAACAGTAACAGTAATAGTAATAGTAATAGTAATAGTAATAATAATAGTAATAGTAATCGTAATCGTAATCGTAATAGTACTTGTACTAGTAATAGTAATAGTAATAATAATAGTAATAGTAATAGTAATAGTAATAGTAATAATAATGATAATAATAATAATGATATTAATACTAACAACACTAATAATAATACTAATAATAATAATACTACCAGCAGGAGGAATAGTAGTAATAAGACTATAATAATAGTATTAATAATAATCGTACTAATGATATCAATAACAAGAGGAATAACAATAATAGACATCAGAGGGAGCAGAAGACGAAGAGGAGGGGGACTCGAAATCCAGAGAGATCTCATGGCCCCGACCATGACGACCCACCCCAGCCAGTCGTCCCCCACTCCTTCAGAGGAGCAAGAAGACATGAGCTTCTGGAGGTAAGAGCGGGTTTCTGGGATCGGCGCTGGACGCCCCTCCCTGGCGCGCGGAGCGCGCCCAGGGTGGCGCCGGAGGCGCCGCCCAGAGGCTCCAGCGCCGGTTCGAAAAATCCGCGCGGACCTCCGAACGTGCATGCTTGTGCTACTTCTTGCTTCGGCGGTGGACAAACCTCCCTCTAGTAGACCTCCCCTTCGTGAAAACGGCCTGGGACCGAAACCGGCGGACACGGACCCGCAAAAACGACGGCCGCGACGCCCTCTCGCGAGCCGGAAACGGCCGATTCCTTAATCGACGTCTCGGGGTGAGAGGTCTGTCCACCCCCGCTTGCTCCCCGACTCCCCGATCACGGTGAGAGTTCTTCTGTTTTTTTTGGGGGGGGGGGGGCTCCTCCTCCTCCTCCTCCCCCTCCTCCTCCTTCCTCCTCCTCCTTCCCCTCCTCCTCCTCCTCCTCCTCCTCCTCCTCCTCTCCTCCTCCTCCTCTCCTCCCCCTCCTCCTCCTTCTGCTCCTCCTCTTGTCCCAGGGCGGCGCCCCTGCACCGCACACCATGCCCAGGCCCCGCTCCAGCGCGGTGCGGTGCACAGGTTTTTGTCGGATGCCAGGGCCGCAGAGCTGTGCACCTCTCCTCCTCCTCCTCCTCCTCCTCCTCCCCTCCTCCTCCTCCTCCCTGTCCTCCTCCTGCCCCTCCTCCTGCCCCTCCTCCTGCTCCTCCTCCTCCTCCTCCTCCTCCTCCTCCTCCCCCTCCTCCTCCTCCGCTCCAGCGCGGTGCGGTGCACAGCCTTTTCGGATGCCAGGGCCGCAGAACTGTGCACCGCCGCGCGCCCTGGTCGAGGGTCGGCGACGACTGCCCCAAGCCTGGCGAGGGGCGCCACTCTCGCGTGCAGCTGGCCCCATGGGCGCCCTGGAGCCACGCCGTGCCTGGGCGCTCGCGCGCGCGGGACGCCCGCGCGGGCGGGGGCGCCCTTCCTGCGCGCCGAGGCCGCCACGCGCCGCCCGCGCCCCAGGCTGTGCCCGGACATGCTCGCGCCGCGGCGGACATCACGTCGGAGGGTGTTTGGCCGCTCCTGGGCCCTCGAGGCCCTCACCGGGCGACAAAACATCGAAGTCTGCGCCGCTTCCAGCCTCTGGGGGCCCTCGCCGGGCCCTGGGGCAAGAAGGCGACGACTCGAGGCGGAAAGCCGGTCCTGGGGAAGGGGTCGGGGCATCGCATGTCCGAGTACGAACTCGCCGATCCTTTGGGAGCATCCTCAGCGTGTGAGATGTTTTCCCCTCCCTGGGTGCTTTCGCCCAGATTCTGGCCCGGGGACCCTTGCGGATCGATCTGGCTCGAGAGACGCCCCAGAAAGCTGGGGTCTTGGGCTCTGGTTGTATGTTGACATTCTCCGCGACGACGGGTCTCAGGGCACCCTGGGCCCCTCCCCGAGCCCACTCTGGCCAAATTGGAGGTGGTGCCGTCCTGGCGGACCCAGCGGACGGACTCGTCTGCTCCAGAAGTGCTCCCCGACGCGTGGACGCGGCCCCGGGTGGCTCCAAGGCGGTCGAAGAAGGCTGCTTGACGGCCCAGGCTGGCCTCAAGACGGCCCAAGAGCCCCACACTACGCGGCAAGAAGGCCCCCAGAGGACCTTCTCGAGGGCCCCCAGAAGCAAACATCGCTGATTTCCATGACGCGCTTAGATCGGTCTCACCTTGTCGGCACAAGACCGCCCCATGTCCAAGACCCAGGACCGCCCCGGCGGACGAGTCTGCTCCAGAGATGTCTGCAGACGCGCCAAAGCCTCCCCAAAATGGCTTCAAGACGGCCTCCGGGAGGGTCCCGCGACGATCCCAGGAGGGCCCCACGGCGCCAAAGGCACCCCAGACCCTGCAAGAGGGCCCGGAGAGGACCCTCACCAGGGCCTTCCGAAGCGAAAGCTGTCGAATTTTGGTCGCTGAAGAAATTCCGCGCTGTCGCCGCCTCGGGCGACCGACAGCCCACGACGGCCCGAGATGCCTCCGAGACTGGCCAGAGGCCGCCCACGAAGCCCTGAGAGGACCCCAAGAGGGCCCCAGGACGGCTCAGGAGGTCTCCCAAGCGGCCCCACACGAAATACAGACGGCCAAGACAAACGGCCGAGCTGGCGAACTCGTCTGCTCACAAGATGCTCCCAGACGCGCCCACATTGCCCCGGGAGGGCTCCGCGTCGGCTCGAGAGGGCCCCGAGAAGGCTCAAGATGGCCTCAAGACGGCTCAAACGACCACGGACTGCACCCTCTCCAACGGCCTGGTCATGTTGTTTTTTGTCATCATTTTCCTCTCTCACCTGAATCACCCCACAACGTCATCATTTTCGTCGAAGTCCGTTCCTGCCAGTTGGCGATTCCCCGGAGAACTCGGCGGTGCAGCGTAAGCCGATGAGTCTCACCTTTGCCGAGCGCGGGGCGCGCGGGCGGGATGCTACCGGCACGGCAGGGCCTCGTTGCCGAAAGGGTCCTCGAGGGGGGGGGGGACGGCAGTGAACGACCCTATAAGAAGCCGAACAGTGGTCTGGGTGTGCACGGAGATGTATTCGATGGCGCTCGTGGGCTGGCAGGGCTTGCCATGCGGCGTCTTGCGCTATGCATGTGTGTCGCGCCTGTTCGGAACGAAGAAATCCGCCGACCTCTTTTGGGTCTCCAGGCGTGGGAGCCTGTTCCCCCCAGTGATCCCCCCCAAGGACCCCAAACCGGGATTTTGACCCAGCCCCCCCCCCGGCCGAGGGTGGCCCCGGACCGAACTCATCCGGGGCGGTCTGGACTCCCTGGGCTCGCTCTTGAGCTGCACGACAGCACTTGACGCCTCTCAAGAAGCCGCCGAGTCCGTCCACGAGAACCCCAAGTCGCCGAGAGATCGCTCCAAGACGCCCAAGATGAGCTCAACACGGCCCAAGAGGCCACCAAGACACCCCACGAAGCGTCCAAGAGGCCTCCCAAGAAGCCCCCAAGAAACCCCAATCCTGAAATTTCCTTTAGGTAAACGTGCATGTTCATCATATCCAACTTGTTAGCCTTCACGGCGTTGAAAACCGTCCACGAGGCCCCCACGAGGTTTCCAGCCACGAGGCTCCCAGGAGGCCCCAAAGACAAACCAAAAGAACTCCAACGTGTCCCAAGAGGCGCCCTAGACGGCCCAACCAAGACGGCCCAAACAAGGGCCCAAGAGAGGGACCACGAACTGCGAATTCCAGCGCTCCGCCCAACGAAGCTCTGCGGAGGACCCAAGAGGCCCCAAGAGGCCCCCATGAGGCACCCAAGAGGCCCCAAGGAGCCCCCAAAAGGCCCAAAAGAAGCCCCCAAACGGCCCCCAAGACCCTGCGAAACTGCCTCGAAGAGGCTCGCGAGAATCCCCGCCACGAGATCCCAACGGGCATCCCAGAGCGTGCCACACACTACCCTGAATTTGACAAATTCTTGCTACTTTTCCTCGCCCCGGCTTCGGAAGTCTGCCCGACAGGTGGCAGACAACAGCCTCGTGGGATGCAGTCCTGGAGGCGCGGTAGTTTATAGAGGGGTCGGCGGATGTGGCGTAAGCCTATAGAATCCACGTCCGGAAGTGACGTGTTGCCGGAGGCAGGTCCGCGGATGCTGTAATGCAATAGATCCAATGTGTCCAATGCTTGCATAATTCCTACATATTGTATTGTATTACATTATTATGTCTCCCCCCCCTAACCCCCCCCTGGAGTCGCGCCACTTCCATCGACCCTCAGGGGGAGGGCCCCTTCTGGGCCTCAAAATCTAGAAAAACCTATGGAAAACCGATGATTTGGGCACCTTGAGCCTTTTGGGGATCCAAGAGGGCCCCAAGACGGCTCCAGATGGCCCCAAGACGGCCCAAGACGGCCCGAAATGGCCCCAAGAGGGCCCAAAAAAAACCCAAGACGGCCCAAGAGGGCTCCAAGAGCGCCCACAAGAGCGCCTCCAGAGGCCAAAAACATAGATTTCCCTTACGTTTTTGACAGATTTTAGCTTTCTCGCCTTTTTCGCCTCTCCGAAGCCCATGACGGCCCGAGCAGCCTCCAAGATGGCCCCAAGAAGGCCCAAGAAACACCCAAGGGGGCTCCAAGACGGCCCCAGAGGGCCACAAGACGGCCCAAAAAGGCCCCCAAGACGGCCCAAGAAACCCCTGAGACGGCCCAAGAGGACCCCAAGAGGGCCCCAAGGCGGCCGCGAGAGGCCCCCAAGACGGCCTCCGAAGGGGCGAAACGGCGCGAAAGCGCCCCAAGACGGCCCAAGACGCCCCCAAGAGGCCCCAAGAGGCCACCAAGAGGCCCCCAAATGGCCCCAAAAAGCCCCCCAGAGACCTCCGAAAAGTCCCCAAGAAGCCTCCAAAAGGCCCCAAAGAAGCCCCCCAAAGGCCACATAGCGACTGGAGTGTAATATTATTTCCCCCCCTGGACGAACTGCGGCGCAGCGCCAGCCAGGTGGAAGTTGGTCACGGCGGCGCCCATGATTAGAGCCAGCGCTGGAAGGGAAGATGGGGAGGGAGTCAAAAAAGGGTGGGAAGAGGCCAGAAGAAGTCCCCAAGAGGCCCAAAGAAGCTCCCAAGAGGCCTCCAGGAGGCCCCCAAGAGGCTCCCAGAAGGCCCCGCGACGTGACTGTACGTGCTCCGGACGTGCACCCCGCGAAGCGAGAGGAATCCACGTCCGGAAGTGACGTGTTGCCGGAGGCAGGTCCGCGGATGCTGTAATGCAATGGATCCAATGTGTCCAATGCTTGCATAATTCCTACATGTTGTATTGTATTACATTATTATGTCTCCCCCCCTAACCCCCTCCCTGGAGTCGCGCCACTTCCATCGACCCTCAGGAGGAGGGCCCCTTCTGGGCCTCAAAATCTAGAAAAACCTATGGAAAACCGATGATTTGGGCACCTTGAGCCTTTTGGGGGTCCAAGAGGGCCCCAAGACGGCTCCAGATGGCCCCAAGACGGCCCTAAGACGGCCCGAAATGGCCCCAAAAGGGCCCAAAAAGAACCCAAGACGGCCCAAGAGGGCTCCAAGAGCGCCCACAAGAGCGCCTCCAGAGGCCAAAAACATAGATTTCCCTTACGTTTTTGACAGATTTTAGTTTTCTCGCCTTTTTCGCCTCTCCGAAGCCCATGACGGCCCGAGCAGCCTCCAAGATGGCCCCAAGAAGGCCTAAGAAACACCCAAGGGGGCCCCAAGACGGCCCCAGAGGGCCACAAGACGGCCCAAAGAGGCCCCCAAAACGGCCCAAGAAACCCCTGAGACGGCCCAAGAGGACCCCAAGAGGGCCCCAAGGCGGCCGCGAGAGGCCCCCAAGAAGTCCTCCGAAGGGGCCAAACGGCGCGAAAACGCCCCAAGACGGCCCAAGACGCCCCCAAGAGGCTCCAAGAGGCCACCAAGAGGCCCCCAAATGGCCCCAAAAAGCCCCCCTGGAGACTCCGAAAAAGCCCCCTGGAAAGCCTCCAAAAGGGCCCCACAGAAGGCCCGCCAAGGCCACATAGCGACTGGCGTGTAATATTTATTTCCGCCCCTGGGCGAACTGCGGCGCAGCGCCAGCCAGGTGGAAATTGGTCACGGCGGCGCCCAGGATTAGAGCCGGCGCCGGAAGGGAAGATGGGGAGAGAGTATGAAAAGGAGAAGGGGGAGGGGCCCCAAAGAAGCCCCCAAAAGGCCCAAAGAAGCTCCCAAGAGGCCTCCAGGAGGCCCCCACGAGGCTCCCAGAAGGCCCCGCGACGTGACTGTACGTGCTCCGGACGTGCACCCCGCGAAGCGAGAGGAATCCACGTCCGGAAGTGACGTGTTGCCGGAGGCAGGTCCGCGGATGCTGTAATGCAATGGATCCAATGTGTCCAATGCTTGCATAATTCCTACATAGTGTATTGTATTACATTATTATGTCTCCCCCCCTAACCCCCCCCTGGAGTCGCGCCACTTCCATCGACCCTCAGGAGGAGGGCCCCTTCTGGGCCTCAAAATCTAGAAAAACCTATGGAAAACCGATTTGGGCACCTTGAGCCTTTTGGGGATCCAAGAGGGCCCCAAGACGGCTCCAGATGGCCCCAAGACGGCCCAAGACGGCCCTAAGACGGCCCGAGATGGCCCCAAGAGGGCCCAAAAAGAACCCAAGACGGCCCAAGAGGGCTCCAAGAGCGACCACAAGAGCGCCTCCAGAGGCCAAAAACATCGATATTCCTTACGTTTTTGAGCGATTTTAGTTTTCTCGCCTTTTTCGCCTCTCCGAAGCCCATGACGGCCCGAGCAGCCTCCAAAATGGCCCCAAGAAGGCCCAAGAAACACCCAAGGGGGCCCCAAGACGGCCCCAGAGGGCCACAAGACGGCCCAAAGAGGCCCCCAAGACGGCCCAAGAAACCCCTGAGACGGCCCAAGAGGACCCCAAGAGGGCCCCAAGGCGGCCGCGGGAGGCCCCCAAGAAGTCCTCCGAAGGGGCCAAACGGCGCGAAAGCGCCCCAAGACGGCCCAAGACGCCCCCAAGAGGCCCCAAGAGGCCACCAAGAGGCCCCCAAATGGCCCCAAAAAGCCCGCCAGAGACCTCCGAAAAGTCCCCAAGAAGCCTCCAACAGGCCCCAAGAAGGCCATGATGGTATTGTTCACGCTGGTGGTAATCATATTTTTCATGGTGGTGATCTGCGGCGCAGCGCCAGCCAGGTGGAAGTTGGTCACGGCGGCGCCCATGATTAGAGCCAGCGCTGGAAGGGAAGATGGGGAGGGAGTCAAAAAAGGGGGGGAAGAGGCCAGAAGAAGTCCCCAATGGGGCCCAAAGAAGCTCCCAAGAGGCCTCCAGGAGGCCCCCAAGAGGCTCCCGGAAGGCCCCGCGACGTGATTGCACGTGCTCCGGACGTGCACCCCGCGAAGCGAGAGGAATCCGCGTCCGGAAGTGACGAGTTGCCGGAGGCAGGTCCGCGGATGCTGTAATGCAATGGATCCAATGTGTCCAATGCTTGCATAATTCCTACATGTTGTATTGTATTACATTATTATGTGTCCCCCCCTACCCCCCCTGGAGTCGCGCCACTTCCATCGACCCTCAGGAGGAAGGCCCCTTCTGGGCCTCAAAATCTAGAAAAACCTATGGAAACCGATGATTTGGGCACCTTGAGCCATTTGGGGATCCAAGAGGGCGTGAAGACGGTTCAAGATGGTGTCCAGACGGGACAAGACGGCCCCAAGACGGCCCAAAATGGCCCCAATAGGGCCCACGAAGCCGCCAAGATTGCCCAAGAGGGCCCTCAGAGCGCCCACCAGAACGCCGCCAGAGGCCAAAAACATCGATTTTCCTTAAGTTTTTTTCAGAGAATTTCGCGTTCTCGCCTATCCCGGCTCTCAGAGGCCCATGACGGCCCTAGCGGCCTCCAAAATGGCCCCAAGACAGCCCAAGCAGCACCCAAGGGGGCCCCAAGACGGCCCAAAGAGGCCCCCAAGACGATCCAAGAGGCCTCCAAGACGGCCCAAGAGCACCCCAAGATGGC